AGCTCGCTAGCAGCCTCGCACCGAGGACCTATCCACGTCATCATTTACCCAGAATGCTTTGTGTGCAAATAAAATGGCTCCGTCCGTGTTAAAATCTATTTGAAAAAATTTACAAAACTGAACATCCTACAGTATTTTTGCAGTCTTCATTTTACAGTTAAAATAAATGTTTATCAAATAAAATCTAATGTTACAACTAATCAGGGATCCCTTTAAAAAATAAGTCATCTCTGCATCTGTCGTTTAGTAAATTGTAAAACAGTATGAACCTTTWGGCAAAGAACAGGCGATTCCTTCAGCCTGATCACAAACAGGATATTTCACATTTTGTTATGATTGAATCTTACTGTGGGTGCAGTTTATAGAGGGTGCCGTCAACGCCCACTGTGATGTCTAAGTGGTCCAGTCCTCGGTTTTCACGGATCTTGTCCACAACAGCAGCCATGCCGGCTCCGCAGATCTGCGCAGCACGGAAGGACACTGTGCCACACACCTCCTTGACAATAATACTGTCGTCACAGGTGCTGTCGAGTCCCAGCTGCTGTAAGATCGCCCTGACCTGCAGCAGTGCGAGGCGATCACTGCGAAGCAAGAAGAAGCAGAACGAGAGCAAATCTGAGGTCAGCCAACAACAGTGGAAGTCACTGGATACGTCTCAGCTGTTCCCAGAGGTTAAACCAAAGCATCTCCTGTTATTCATTCTTTGGTGTGTTGTTTCACTCTGTGTTAACTTTTCAGTGACTCAAGTTGGTCCAGCTTGTGTTTTATGTTAATGTTTATTATAGAAAGGCTTTAGCAGATTTCTGTGCACTGCTTTAATTATTTTATTAATTATTTTAAATTGTGAATCAGTAATAAACTCAATCTGAGCTTGTTTGATAATCCCATATTAAATGAAAATGTTTAATGTGATATGATTTTTCTGACCCAACAAAGGCAGCCATTACTGGATGGTGATCTTGGTTCACCCTATACCAGGGGGTCTTAACCTTTTTGACCTCAGGGCCCAATTTATTGAACATAAAGTGATACGAGGTCCAGTCAGACATTACCAATGTATGGATCAAATTATAATTATTATAAATTATGGTTTAATTTTTATTGTATTTACATCATAACTAAACTATCATAACTAACATAACTAAAT